TATCTCACTCTTGCTCTTCTCAGGGTCCCAGGCCTCCTGACTTCCAGGCAGCCAGCCCATCATTTCAGTTCTTGTTTGTTGCTAGTGGCAAAATCGGTTTAGAGAAGAGCTTCTGGTCCAACAAAGATAACCAAAAGTCATGCCTTAAAGGGAAGAAATTGGGGAGTGGAGGGCAGGGTAGACGAGGTGGCTATGATGGTCTCAGCCAGCAAGGTTGGGCCCAGGGAGAAGTCAAGTGCACCAGCCTAGAGGGCTGGGGAGAACACGATGGGTACGGGGGAAGGGGGGTGCCAAGCACTAGCAGGACACATGAAGAAGCTGGGGTGCCTGTATTGGGGACCCCCTCGCCGCCCCGCTATCAGGGCTGAGGGTTTCTTATAGGCCAGGCAGATCATTGGTCAAAACCCTGAGACCGGCAGGAATTCTGAAGTCAGAACCCATCGATTCAGGAGTTGGCAGGAGCAGTAAATTTGAGGGTGATGATGCATCTGGCTGGTGGTCTGGTTCTTTCTTGGGAGCTGCTCCCTACTTGGAGAGCTACAGCCATGTCGCCTTAGAGGCGTTCAGAGGCGTCCTTAACTGGCCGTTAGGGGTCGCTTCCAGTTCGCATCTGGGAAACTTCGGTCGTGACGTCGTGGGTCTTCTGGTGGCATTACCTATACTTGAGTGATGCATATGTAGAGACTTGAGGCACCCTCTTGGCGCAGCTGGCCGGTTAGCTCAGTTGGTTAGAGCGTGGTGCTAATAACGCCAAGGTCGCGGGTTCGATCCCCGTACGGGCCACAGTGGTCTTTTTATCTTTTTTTTCTTATCCCCCTTACCCATCCCTCCTCCCCTCCGCACACCTGCTGTTTACAACCCACAAGTTTCTGCGCGGAACCGATGACTTTTGATCGCAGACGACGTGGCACCCACCGCCTCTCAAATCGCTAGCACACTGCCAGGCTTGGAAGGGAGGTGCCCGGGCGGAGGGAGCCTTCTCCGGGAGGCGGTGGGGGACAGGATCAGGTCCCGGCGGAGGAGCCCAGGGAGGCGGGGCGCGGCGGCTGCAAGTTCCCTGCTGGTGCTGTATCCGCGCTCTCGGCTCCCGAACCCCAAAGTTGCTCGGGGCCTTGTCTGCAGGGTTTGTGAACTGAGAAAGGCTAGCACGAGGACTTCCCTCAGACGGTGTAGTCGTGGCCGAGTGGTTAAGGCGATGGACTAGAAATCCATTGGGGTCTCCCCGCGCAGGTTCGAATCCTGCCGACTACGCACGTTTTTGCTTCTCCGACGTTCTGGCCGCGTCCCTGTGTCCAAGGTCAGGGACCGATCCCGCAGAATCTGGATGTCAGGGATCCTACACTCCCGGGGGTACCCCGAGCCAGCACTTCTGCCTAGGGTTCATATGTTTGTTTTATTCCTTTCGACCCTGTGGGCATCCCACGGCGAGAGAGCGATGCCGAATCCCGCCGCTCTGCGGAAAGTAGTTTTAGAAAAGTCTGAAGGTGCCGCGGCCGCGCTCCGAGCGCTCTATTCCTGTAGTGCAGCTTCGGAAGGAAGCCGGGTGTCTTTGGCGCCGTGGCTTAGTTGGTTAAAGCGCCTGTCTAGTAAACAGGAGATCCTGGGTTCGAATCCCAGCGGTGCCTTTATTTCAGCCCTAGCGGGGGTTTTTAACGTTTTGTCGGTAAATCCATATTCTTTAATGGGTGTATGGGGTGCTTTTTACACCAGGGGAGCAAGGGCTCCAGTTCCGCCCTCGGAGCACCCAGATTTCCCGCTGAAACGACTTGCCACTCCCGGGACACCACCGCTCCAAAAGCTCGCCCCTCCGACCCGGCCTACGTCTTCCTTTGAGCAGCGGCTGTGGCACCGGCTGTGCGGGTGGGCTAGCCTCGAACCCCGCGAGAGGAGCCCCCACCCCCACCCCCACCCCCGCCCAGTCTCTACCCCAGGACGCCCCGGGGCGCCTGAGCCGCCTTGTTTGGTGTGGTTCTTCGTTGTATTTTGGGGGGTTGGGGCCTCAAAATTACATATGTACATAGGTATTTTTAATACTTTTTTTCATTAGAAAGAATTTGGGGAGGGTGCATATTGTATATGCTGCTCTTTCACGCACAGTTACCTTCATTGGTCTTATTATACTGGCGGAAAGTCAGGGTTAGGAGTTAGCAGAGAATGCGTGCCATCCGCTTTCCTCCAAGAGGGTGCTGACGGGCTGGCACCACGAATGCGGGCAGGGTGAGAGCCGAAGAGCGGTCTTTGCGGGGGAGTGGCTCCACAAGGTCAAGCGCGGAAGCCCTGGGGGCGCACTTCTGGAACCCTGAAGCCGATCTCGAAAGGCTGTGGATGGAGGAGGCAGGAAGTAGGCGGTTGGCAGGGCCTAAACCTTCCTGGAAGACAGGCAGAAAGATCTCGATACATTGATACAAGCCTTTGGCTCCCGAACCATTCTAAAATGTCTGAGCAGAAGTATGGTCTAGAAGGAATTGCTCTCTGGAGATGACAGGTCTCGATGCCGCACCACCCAAAGTTCGTGCTAAAACGTGGACCGCATTATGTGCGTCCAGGCACACCCCGTTTTCTCCAAGGGCTCGTGAGAAGGAAGAGGAAATCACAACCCAATGCGCTCAGGGCAGGGACAGGATGCTGTGACAACACGGAGAGAAGGAGCATCTCATGGGGACTAAGAGTAGAGAGTGATCAGGGGAGGCTTTCCGGAGGAGGTGAGCTAAGTCTTGAAGACCAGTGGAAATTTGCCACACGTTCTCTTAAACGACGAGTACTGTATATCAGCCAGTGTTCCGGGTGCTGGAAATACAGCAGGGAACAATAAACACAACGAAAGTGTTTTAAATATTAAATTAGACAATACACTAGATAGATGCTACATAAAAGAATAACACAAGGGATCAGAGTGTGTGTGTGTGTGTGTGTGTGTGTGTGTGTGTGTGTGTGTGTGTTGGGAGGGCGGAGACGGTTGGTGATAGAAATGTCAAAGGCTTGCACCCGGGCAGTTGTAGAAGACATGGAAAGGAGGGGTTAAATGCAAGGCATGTTTATGGTCGGTAAATGGTCGGATGTAGAGTCTGAAAAGAGGCAGATATTCAGGATAGAGCCACAGATCTTTAGCACTTTAGCGAAGTGCTGGGGGCAGAGGTGCAAACAACTCCAATTCACCAAGAATATTTTTTCTCTCTTTCCCACCCAGTCTTTTTCAAGCAACTGTGACTACCCGAAGCCGCAGCTTAGAACTCCATTTCTCCGGGCAAAGCTTTGGCTCCTGTTAAAATCTAAAACACAGCAAATTCAACAGTAATCAGTTTACACCTCAGTTCTTGGATCCTAAAAGTGGGGTCCACGGGTGGGGCTTCAGGGAGTGGGTGAACTCTCCGATGCTGTATGCGTTTTTCTAGGGAAAAGGACCATGTTCTTTGAGGAATGTAGGGCTCGGCCTCTGCGTAGATTAGGTGCCTGAGACCAGGTGAGAGAGTGGTAACTAGAGACCTGGGGAAAGCTGGCGCCCAAGGGGAGGAGAGAGATGACGAAAGGGCAAAGGGGAGGCAGATGCCAGCCCCGAGCGCTTCATCCACTTGAAAAGGCCTGGGACGCTGACGGGACAGGATGGGCTGCTCTCTGCTCCCCTTCCCCGCCGCCTGGCCAGGGACACTGGGAAAAGAAAAAAGCCAAGCGGTGAAACTGAGGTCTCCTCACCAAAGTGCCTGTGGGCGGGGCATGAGGAAGGGCCCCACAAATCACAGGACTGGGCGATGGAGCAAAATGGTTCAGCCCAGAGATGCTCCGAGGTCGCCGCTGGAAGAGCAGGGAAGGCAGAGCAGGTGGCGGGCAGCGGACTCCACCAGCTCCTGCGGGGACTCCAGGCAGCCCCCAGGTGAGAGCGTGGTGAGTGTAGTTAGAGCTTAGAGACCCTGAGAGGGGATAGCAGCCGGGGAGACCCTGCGAGGCCCCAAGGCCGGGTGTGCTGGCCTTAGACCACACTCCTGCCGGCGTTTGCCTCCGAGCACCTTTCTGGGGGTCTTAGACGGCAGGTAGAAGGGTCACCTTCCCGGCCATCCTAGGAGGTAAGCGGACAGCGGAGGGTAGACGGGAGGGTAGGGGGAGCCTGACTGTGCAGGCGGGAAATCCTGGAGGCAGTGCTGGTGGGGCTGTTGGACGGCAGGGACGGCCCTGGTCGTCAGACCTGGCACCTCGTCCCCAATCACGCAGGTTGGAAAGCCTGTCCCCTACCCCGCCCCGCCAGCCATTCATCTCAATGACTCCTCCTCCGTGGGTCTTCTTGGCCCCGGGAATTATTCCCTTGCCTGGGCACCTGCCCTGCTCGTGGCTTCAGGAGGGATGGACAGGTGCAGGGACAGACAGAGGAGCAGATGTCCACCTAGGAATCTCAGGGCTCATTCGTTGTCCCCAACCAGGCATCTCCACCGCCTATCTTTAAAGCTCTGCGCCAGAGGACTGGGTCCGAGGACGCCGGGAGCAGGCGGCAAGAGTTGAGCCCCCAGGTTATGGAGTGGCACCGAGACAATGACCACAGGGAAGCGGAAACTCGGGTGCTCAAGGTAGTCCCGGAGAGCCGCGCGGCGGTGGGGGGAGGCCGAGACCACTCCCTCCTACTTCCCCGACGTTATTTCCTGGGAGGAGTCGGCGTTCGCTGGCGGGAGCGGTGATTCCCGGACCCGGCTCGCGAGTCCGCGGTACCCGGCGGGTGGTCCCTGCGGGCGCGCCAGGGCCGCTCCCCCGCCGTGAGCCGTGGCCCTCGGACCGCGGCGAGCCCGGTACGACCTCTAAAGGCGTCCGCGAGCGCACTTACACGTCGGCTCGTTGGTCTAGGGGTATGATTCTCGCTTCGGGTGCGAGAGGTCCCGGGTTCAAATCCCGGACGAGCCCACCTTCGGTTTTGGCGCGAAAAGCGAGGGCCGCCGCGGCCTGGCGAGCGGGAACGGCGCCCGGCGTGCAGGCGGATCTGCGACCCCGCCAAGCGAGCGGAGAGCCTGGAACAGGTGCGCTGGGAGCTCTTTTGTTCCGTTCGCACACCCGGCGGCCGTAGGGAACTCGCGGGGCACAGCCGGTCCAGGCCGGGGTGCGCAGGGCCGCGTGCGGACCTGGGCCAGCCCCGCTCATTCTGGCGCGGCGGCTGGGGTTGTGCGTGACGTGGGGTGGACCCGAGTGGGAGCGGAACCTGTCGGAAGTCGGGTCTCCGCGGCCTCGCAGGCGGTCTGCTTCCCGAGTCGCTCAGTCGCCGTCAGGAGCTCTCGCGGGTTTGTCCCAGCGGCCGGAGGGAGCAAAGCCCCGGCCCAGGGCGCGCTGGGCACCAGATCCTCGAGTCGCAGAGCGTGCTCTTCAGCTCCTTCCTCGTTAGTATAGTGGTGAGTATCCCCGCCTGTCACGCGGGAGACCGGGGTTCGATTCCCCGACGGGGAGAAGCGTGTCGCCTTTTGCCCTTTTCTTTCTATAACAAATCCCACTTGCAACCAAGCAACCGTCCTGGGCTGTGGGGTGGAGATTTTTTTTTTTTTTTTTTTTTTTTTTTAATTAATAAGAGGAAGGAAAGGGAAGGAAGAAGGTAAAAGATAGTGGGTCCTCACTCGTTCTAAAAGCTCGGCGCTCAGCCCTCTGTGGTGGCCAGTGGATCCCGGCAGACCCCTGATCCCGGAGAGGGCGGCGAAAAGTTCTAAAACTGAAGGCTACTGCGTTGGCCGGGAATCGAACCCGGGTCAACTGCTTGGAAGGCAGCTATGCTCACCACTATACCACCAACGCCCGCTGGCGAACCTTGCTCCCGACGCTAGAACTTCCGAACGTGCGCAGGCGCGGGGCCTGCGAGAAGCCCCCTTCGAGCTCAAGCGCAGGACGCACGTCAACGAAGCCGCGACCGAGGCGGCAGGTGACACGCAGCCTACAGATGAGAAACCGAAGTTCAGAGGACCTATGTGAAGGGGCTTTCGGAGTCACTGGGAGAGCCTCGGTTATATCTAAGACTTGTCTGGGGGGCCAGGACTGCCGCGACGCCGCGTGGGCTTTGTCACCCCCAGAAACAAGTCCCAAACGCACAGATCGCTTCTCTGTTGGGCGAACCCGATGTGTCGCAAGGTTGAAGAACTGAGCCTTGCGCCAAGCGCGCCTGAGCACATCTACCCACAGTAGGAGCTTTGAGTCCTAGGTGTTCACTCCCGGCTCTCGAAAGGACTCGGACAGAACCTTCGGGGCCGGCCCTGAGGCTGTGGCTCCGCCCCTTATCGCTGACGATCGATCTGTTCACGAGATCCGTGCAGCCCCCGGCTCGAGGAGGCCTCGTGGCGCAACGGTAGCGCGTCTGACTCCAGATCAGAAGGTTGCGTGTTCAAATCACGTCGGGGTCATGGAAGCTCGCAATTTTAGATGTATGTTTATATTTTTCCGGAAAAGAAAGGGGGGGGGAAAAAAGATTTGTTTCTACGTATGAAAAAAATACAAACCTCAGCGTTCCTGTGCTTTTGCTTTTCCCAAAGTGTATGGATTTTCTCCTAAAATACAAATGTTGGAACGTCTATTGCAGCTTTCCAGTAGTGATCCTTTTAATCTCAGATATTTTAGGTATCCCAACACAAACTGTTCACGGGGAGCTGCGAGTTCTTGTTCAGAAAATGTACTTGGAACAATAAAGATTCTTTATTGGAAGGGATGCAGCAAGAATTGATAATTATTATAAGTAACAATGAATTAAAGAGATGTTCTCCAGGGGCGCCTGGGTGGCTTAGTCGGTTGGGCCTGCGACTTGAGCTCAGGTCATGATCTCGTGGTTTGTGAGTTGGAGCCCCGCTAGGGAATCTGTGCTGACAGCTCAGAGCCTGAATCCTGCTTCAGATTCTGTCTGCCCCTCCCCTGCTCATGCTCTGTCTCTCTGTCTCTCAATAATAAACATTAAAAAAAAGAGAGAGAGAGATGTTCTCCAGGCTTCTCAATGGTGACTAGAAGCCACCTGCATTTTTGCTGCTTCTGGTCTATTGGGGGACCAAAGAAATACAGGCCAGCCACTCTATAAGCCTTGTCTTTCCCAGCAGGCAATTCTTCCCGGACATCTCTTTCCTTAACAGTGTTTGTTTGAAAGTACCAGACCTGGGCTGGGCCAGCTCTGCACCCCGCACAGGGCAGACACCTGCACGATGTTTGGCCCTCTCCGTCTGCTCCGCTCCCTGTTTGCTCTCCCGGTTCAGTGAACTGCATTCAATTCGTAAAGAACCTCTTGCTCTCATCCACTGGGGCCAGGTGATGCCTTAGTCATAATGATAGCTGACACTGAGGGCTTGCTGTGGGCCAGCCACGGAGCCAAGCGCTTCAGAGACCTTTCCTCAATTAATCCTGACAGCCAGCTTGCAAGGCTGTATAACCATGCCCATCTTAGAGCTGACACTCAGCAGGATTGATCCGTTTGCCAAGCAACACAGATTGCAAGTGGTGGGCTCAGAGGCAAACGCGTAATGCCCAAGCCCACAGGCTTTCTCCTGCATGGTGTTCCCTAAGAGCCCACCTGAGGAGTGACCAGGTAAGGTTAGTGGCCCCAGGGGAAGGGAGGATGACCTCCGAGTGTGGTTTATGGTCCAGAAGAGCCCAGGGATTAGGGATGGGATGTTTGTAGTCTAGAGACCAAATCCAGTCCACAGACACGTTTGGTGACTGATTTGCCAACATTGACAGCTCAGTCAATTTCACACGCAAATCTAGATTCCTAGCTTCTCTTGAAAATTCAAAAGATCCGTCCACACCTGGGGGCTACGCTTTCACATAGTAACAATCCACTAGAGCGGAGTCTTGCCTCTGTCTTTGAGACATGCCTTCCCCCTTTGACACACTCCCCATCACGGAAGCTGAGGTCCATCATACACCAACCTAGGGACGATCCAAAAAACCTGGGGTTCGGAAAAAGCCTGGATTTTTTGGCAGAAACAGGACAGTGAGTTCCCACCCTGACCCCTTTTGCTTCAGATACGTAGCACTGATAGATAAAATATAAAATATAGAGAACTAAAAGGCCATAGAAAGGCTTACAAATGAACAATTCAGTAGTCCAAATGCAAAACCTTGAACTGGGCCGATGAAGGGAACAGGATCCTGACTGGGGACAGAGAGGGAAGCCAGAGCCTCAGCGCTATCCTTGTATCAGAAAAGGAGGCTGTAAAACAAACCACCAACTCCCTGCCTGGAACCACAGGCCCGAAAGGGCAGGAGGACTCAGATGTGGCTCAAGACCAGAAACACGTCCAACTTTCCCTCTCCCCCATGATTGCATTTGAGATACCCTCAATATCACAGTGAGGCAGGAGCCCCCAAATACCATGATAAGACCTGATTTTTTGACTGGGAGCGAGGAGGTAACAGCAATGGCCAGATTGTAGGTCAGGGAGCAATGTGTGACATGAAGAGAGAGAGAGAGAGAAAACAACAAAATGAAACACTCTTCTGGCCCAGACGACATTACAAACCCAAATCCCAAAACGTATGAAGAAGCATAACTGGAACAGAGACAATAATTGGAAGATATGAAAATAAGTGTACGGGGCAGTCCGGCAGAGAATTTAAAGTAAGTGTGACTGGGATATGTAAAAAGATAAATAACAAAATCAAATCATGAGACAAAAAGACAAAGATTCAATAAAGTCATATGGATAGGCAACTGACCAATTAGAAATCTCACACATGGATGACAGATGTAATAAAAGAAGTCTAGGTAGGGGTGCCTGGCTGGCTCAGTCGGTTAAGCCTCCGACTCTAGGTTTCGGCTCAGGTCATGATCTCGTGGTTTCCTGAGTTCAAGGTCCACATTGGGCTCTGCGCTGACAGTGCAGAGCCTGCTTGGAATTCTCTCTCTCTCTCCCTCTCTCTCTGCCCCTCCCCTACTCACACTGTCTCTGTCTCTCTTAAAATAAATAAACTTAAAAAAAAAAGTCTATCTTATATCTTAAACTGGGAACAGTCTGAAAGAGATTTAGCTATCAAAAAAAAAAAAAAATAGAACTCAAGAATTTACCCAAAACACAGCACAGAACAGAGGGACGAGAAATTTCAAAAGCATGAAAAAACAAGCTAACTGATGTGGAAGATAGATTTAGAAGCTCTGATTACCTCTTGAGGAGTTTCAGAAAAAAGACAATAGAAAATAGTAAAGAAACAGTACACATAGACTTAATTATTACATTTTTGCACTGAAGCTTCACCTGGATGCCTTTTATTTCACACACACACACACACACACACACACACACACACACACACACATCAGAAGCAAACAGGAAAAAATTGGTTAAGATTGAAATAATTGAATAGTAGTTATGCAATTGCTTTAAAAAGTATTCCTGTGGGAATGCAAGCTGGTACAGCCACTCTGGAAAACAGTATGGAGTTTCCTCAAAAAACTAAAAACAGAACTACCCTATGACCCAGCAATTGCACCACTAGGCATTTATCCATGGGATACAGGTGTGTTGTTTCGAAGGGACACATGCACCCCCATGTTTATAGCAGCCCTATCGACAATAGCCAAACTATGGAAAGAGCCCAAATGTCCATCGATGGATGAATGGATAAAGAAGATGCAGTATATGTATACAATGGAGTATTATTCGGCAATCAAAAAGAAGGAAATCTTGCCATTTGCAACTACGTGGATGGAACTGGAGGGTATTACGCTACGTGAAATTAGTCAGAGAAAGACAAAAATCATATGACTTCATTCATGTGAGAACTTTAAGAGACAAAACAGATGAACATAAGGGAAGGGAAACAAAAATAATATAAAAACAAGGAGGGAGACAAAACAGAAGAGACTCATAAATATGGAGAACAAACTGAGGGTTACTGGAGGGTGTGGGAGGGAGGATGCGCTAAATGGGGGCGGGGCATTAAGGAATCTACTCCTGAAATCATTGTTGCACCATATGCTAATTAATTTGGATGTAAATTTAAAAAAATAAAAAATTAAATTAAAAAAATAAAATAAGATAAAATCATAGCAGATAGCATGCAAAATAAAAGCTCATTTAAAGATCAATTTTAGGGTTATCTGGGTGGCTCAGTTGGTTGGGCATCCAACTTTGGGTCCGGTCATGGTCTCACAGTTTGTGCATTTAAGCCCTGCATCCAGCTTTGTGCTGACTCTGTGGAGACAGCTTAGGATTTGCTCTCTCCCTCTGTCTCTGCCCCTCCCCTTCTCTCTCTCTCTCTCTCTCTCTCTCTCTCCCCCTCAAAAATAAACATTAACAAATGATAATAAAGATCAATTTTACTTCTTGGTGTGAAAAAAAAAAGTATTCCTGGTATTTGAAATATTTTGTAATATTTTTTTTCCATATTTTTTTTGGTGGTAAAATACACTTACCATAAAATTTACCATCTTAACCATTTTAATGTGTACAACTCAGGGGGTTGTAGTATGGTTACACAGTTGTTCACCAATCACCACGATGTGATTACGGAATGTTTTCTTTTTTTATTATTTTTCATTTTTTTTAAGTCTATTTGAGAGAAAGAAAGCACAAGTTGGGGAGGGGCAGAGAGAGAGGGTAGTGGAGAGAGAGAATCCCAAGCAGGCTCTGCATGGTTGGTGGAGAGCCCGATGTGGGGCTCGAACTCATGAACTGTGAGATCTTGAGCCTAAGTCCCCCACTTAACTGACTGAGCCACCCAGGCACCCCCAGAACATTTCATCACTCTGAAAAGAAACCCCTGTAGCCATTGGCCATCCCTCCCCATTTCCCCCGCCCCCTTGGGAGTATTGGCCAGGCTCCCCCCAAACCAGCCCCTTCCAGATCCTTCTGAGTCTACTCCTCATTCCTGAAAGAGGCTTATTGGTTGATACTGAGAATTCGTGTCTTGACATTTCTTTGGGGGAGATTCCATTATGAGAAATACAAGGGACTAACATCTATGCATCCCGAGCGTTATAGTATCCCAGCCATCCTGCCCTGAACACATCCTGTCCCTTTAGAACACGATCCAATCCTGCCCCTTCCCAGTCTTGGGAAAATACGCCCCAGCAAGAAGGCCACTGACAACTCCCCCCCACTGACCTCTCCAGAAGCTCTGGGGTAAACAACAGGGATTTTGTTCACTAACTTGAACAGGCAGCTGATGGTTGCCTAGCCGATAGAACAGATAGTTTTTGTTTTGTTTTGTGGTTTATGAATAATGCAAATCCCGGTCCTGTGCTGGCCCCGTCAAATATTCCTGAAAGGCCAAATATCTTCTGGCAAAATGTGCGAGTGGGAATTTAAAGACCGTGGAGGGACGGGGACACTGTATGGGATCGATCAGGCATATCCCACCCTTGCACTGCGTCTCCTGACACATTCCGGAAACATCTCCCTTCGCTAGGTCATGAGGAATAAAGGAGGCTGCAGGGGATAGAATTTTCACAAAGCTTTTCATTAGCTAGTCTCTCTAGGCCAAGTACGTTGATGAAGTCACTACAGTTGAGGTGGGCTCTCTCCCTGATCTCGGGAAGCGGGGTTAAGCTGACCCTAAGTAAAAACAATCCACCTCCAGAAGCAAAATTATTTTTTCACAAATGGCAGAGGGGTGCCCTTGGTTGCCAAATCTCTGGAGATACCTCATCACACACAGATCTCTGAACTTTTGTATTAACCATGGGCTCCCCAGAATGAAATTGCAAGCCACACAGCTTGTGGTACACAGCTATTTCTACCCCCCACCCCTTGGTGTTTTCACTGCAGTGGCTACGAGAGATACTCACTTTACCAGGATCCTTTGCAGTAGTCATGTGACACAGTTTTGGCCAAGGAGAAATCTATTGGGTACTTCTGGAAAGGCTTCTGCTTATCCTGATAAAAGGGGCACAAACCGTTGGCCGCCATCTTGCACTCATAAGGAACGTGTGAAGAGAATCACAGAAAGGCAATCCAGATCTCTAACAAAACGGCTACGTACTTGCTGACTTCTTGCTACGCAGGAGAAAATAGATCCCTATTGTTTGTGCCATTGTTAACTGGGCCTTCTGCAACTTGCAGCCAAAAGCATTAGGAAATGACCGAGAAACCCATAAGCACTTCTTGGATTTACATTTGGCTGAGTTATATGAAACTGGTGTTTTTGTAGGTCAAATGATTGACTCTCAACAGTTTAACGTCATTTATTCAAACTCTATGACTAAGAACCCTTGAGGCTGGGTCTGTAGATGTGCGTCCGTGAGTATTCTTTTGACCCCAAATAACCAAACCCTCAAGTCAATGCATTAGGGAAAGTGCAGAATAGGCGTCCAGGGGCTCAACAACATCATCAAAGCCTTGGGTTCTTCCCAGGCCTCTCTTCTGCCTTCTACGAGGTCAAGCTTCATTCTCAGGCTGCTTCCTTCAGGAGTACCACCAGCAGCAAGGTGTGCTTTGTGGAGAAAAGGAGTTCTGCCCAGCGTTCTGGACAAGAATCCTAAAAGTCCCACTAACTGGGTCACTTGGGTCACACGCTTATCCCCCGAACCATGACCGTGATTCTGGTCGTGGTGTAAATCGATCAGCATCCAATCCTGGGTTGGCGATGGTGTCAGCTTCCCTCTCAGATCCACAACATTTTGGGTGCTTTCTGGAAGTGGGAATGGCTAGGAGAATGGACACTGGCTAGGTAACCACGTTGTCCACAAGAGGTCTCCACCAAGTTGGAGATTAGGAGTTGGCAGAAACAGAAACCACTAGAGTGGAATCCGTAGACACTTGGTTCTTTCCATACCTGGGCTATTATAAATACTGCTCAGTGAACATGGGAATACAGATATTTTTTTGAATTTTGCCTTCCTTTTCTTTGGATAAATACTCAGAGGTAGAATTGCCAGACCCTACGGTAGTCCTATCTTTAAGTTTTTGATGACTCCGTGCTGTTTTCCACAGTGGCTGCACCAATTTACATTCCTACCAACCGTGCACAAGGGCTCCCTTTTCTCACATCCTCACCGGTGCTTGTCACTTCCCATCTTTTGGATGATAACCATTCGAACAGGTGTGAAGCTATGTCTCATTGTGGTTTTGATTTGCATTTCCTTGATGATTAATGATGTCAAGCATCTTTCTCGTATTTCTTGGCCGTCCGTATGTCTTCTTTGGAGAAACGTCTATTCCGATCTTCAGCCCGTTTTTAAATCAGCTTGTTTTTTGCTGTTAAAAAGTTGTATGAGTTCATTAGGTATTGGGGGTATCCGCCCCTTATCAGGTATACGCTTTGCAAATATTTTTTTCCCATGCACCACCTTGCCTTTTCGTTTGTCGACGGTTTCCTTTGCAGAGGCCTTCAGTTTGCTGAAGTCACGCTTGTTTGTTTTTGCTCTTGCTTTTGACTGTGTTGTCAGAGTTAAAAAATAACAATAATTATTGCCAAGGCCTATGTCAAGAAACCTACAGCCTGTGTTTTCTTATAGGAGTCTTATGGTTTCAGGTCTTACGTCCCAGTCTTTAATTAATCACTTTTCAGTTCATTTTTGGGTCTAGTGTAAGACAGTGATCCCAGTTTCGTTCTTTTGCCTGTGTACCTGTCCAGTTTTCCCAGCACCATTCATTGAGGAGACCGCCCTTTCCCCATTGTGTATTCTTGGCAACTTTTTCATAAATTAATTAACCATGTATGTGTGAGTTTATTGCTGGGCTCTCTGCTCAGTCCCATCGATCTATGCGGCGGTGTTTACGCCAATACCTCGCTGTGTGAATTACTGTAGCTTTGTAACAGCCTGAAATCTGGGAGCGTGATGTCTTGTCACTAGCTTTGTTCTTTCTCCATTGCTTTGGCCAGTTGGATTCTTTGGCGGTTCCATACAAATTTGGTACTTTTTTTTTTTTTTTTTTCTACTTCTGTAGAATATGTAACTGGAATTTTGATGGAGGTTGCATGGAATCTGTAGATTGTAGCGGGGGGAACAAGGGAGTTTGCTTCACAAACGGCGCTGGCATAATGAACTCCCCGTGTGTCCGAAACAAAGACCCTGGTCCCTACATACAGAAGGATACATCCCAGATACATTAAAATTTTAAATTAAAGGAAAAAGACCTTGACTCCCGGACAAGGTAAACTTTGCTCAGCCAGAACCCCAGCGATATTCCGCCTCTAACTTTGGGCCCCACCCGCTACGTCACGGGGTGTCCAGCCAATGAGAATTGGGCATGGACAGCGCGCTCAGCCAATGGGGTCACGGCGGGAGATTTGAAAGGGCCTCAGCGGGGGGAGGGCCTGGCAGGTTCAGTCGTTTGCCCGGGGCCCGGAAGGTGGCCGTGCTCGGGCTCCAGGTGAGCCGGCTCCCTTTCGCGGGTCTTGCGCTGGGAGAGGCCAGGCGATCGGGCAGGTCGGGGGTCCGTTGGGCGGGCCCGCGCGCACCCGTGGGGCTGCTGGGAGCTCCAGGGTAGAGGGAGGGTCCCGAACTGGCGGTGCGCAGGGAGAGGGCGGGGGCGGCGAGACCAGCACCCCAGTGCGCCCCGATGAGCCAGCGAGCTGACCTGCTCCGTTTCACCGGCCCCAGGCCTGCGCTTCCGGCTAGATCGGTCCGATCCCTCCCTCTCTCGCTCCCTCTTTTTTTTCTGCTTCCTACAGCCCTGTTTCCCTTGTCTGCCCAGCTCTCCTCCCCCCTTTCCCTCCCAGGATGGCCCAGAAGGAGAACGCCTACCCCTGGCCCTACGGCCGGCAGACGGTAAGGGCTGTCCCACTTCCCCTCCCCCCACCCGCATGGAGAGTTCCTGCCTGGGGATTTGAGGTCCCGCGGGGGCCGGGGGCGGGGCGGAATCCTCCAAATCGCCCTCGGTTTTGCTCCGACGTCTGGGTCCCAAGAGTTTGCTGGCGGGAACCCGGTCCGGTCATTTGCAACTACATCCTATCAGGCGCTGCCAACTGGAATCTGACCCGCCTGCGAGGACCGTCTACAGGGTTGAGCCTCCTTGTCACGTATACATGCTATCTCGGCCGAGCAGACAGGTTCCGTGGTTCCCAACCCTTATCCCGAAATAATAGGCTAAGTAGGAAATAGAAATAGACTCTGAACGGGCTTATGTAAGTTTAAAAGATTAATAATTTGGAGTCTGTTTTAACGACTGGTGTGAAGGAAAGATCTAAAGAGATTTATTTTCCAGTTGTCCTACGACCTTTTCAGTGGCGAGTCTACTCTCTGATTTGAAATGCCACCTTTATTGTATGAAATGCCCCCCTGTATGTGGGTCTGTTTCTGGACCCTGTTTTGTTCAGCTTGCTCATCTGTAACTTCTGTGCTCGTATCATTGCTCGGGAATGGGTTTTTAGGGCACCAGGTTTTCTTTTTCTCTTGGCTAAGAACAAGGAAGGGGCTCTCGTAGGCTTTGCTCCCTCGTCGGTGGGGCGTGGGTATCCTGCAGCGTCCATCTATCCCCTTGCCCACCAGCTCGCCTCCTCGTGGAGCACTTATCAAGGCTCTCAAGAATGGAGGCTGAGGGGCGCCTGGGTGGCCCAGTGGGTTAAGCGACCGATTATTGGTTTCGGCTCAGGTCCTGATCTCACGGTTTCATGAGATCCAGCGCCACATCAGGCTCTGCGGTGACAGCGTGGATGGAGCCTGCTTGGGATTCTCCCTCTCCTTCTCTCGCTACCCCTCCCCTGCTCACGCTGTCTCTGTCTCTCCCAAAATAAATAAACTTAAAAGAAAAAAAAAGAACGGAGACTGAAATAGAAACCGTTGTCATGTCTACAGTGACAAAAAACAGATGTATATATTACTCGGAGAAATAGCAAGTGAGAAGTGGTCCGGGGGCATCAGAGTAGCCCTCGCTGCCTCCAGAGCCTCTTGTTGCAAAGGGGTAAATACTGGAATTTGTTGCAACATTCAAGACCTCCAGGACCTCATCTAAGCCTTATGAGACTGAGCTTTTTAGGGAGAGTGAGGGTGCCTCTGCCGATCCTTGAATTGGGGGCATTTGTTAACCTGCCCTCTACTGCCCGCTGGGATGGGAGCTGGTGTGAATGAGCGTGGGGTTGCAGATGGACCGGACTGTAGAGGTTGGACAGTTTCGTGCCTGAGAATGTGGTGTGGGCCAGGGCCGAAGAGGTGAAATGTTTGGTGTTGGGGTGACTGAGTCCTTTTTAAAAAAAATTTTTTTTTAATGTTTATTTTTGAGGAAGAGAGAGAGAGTGCATGAGCGGGGGAGGGGGCAGAGAGAGAAAGAGAGAGACACACACAGAATCCGAAGCAGGCTTGAGGCTCAGAGCTGTCAGCATCGAGCCCAATGCGGGGCTCGAACTCAGGAACCGTGAGATCATGACCCGAGCTGAAGTCGGATGCTTAACCGACAGAGCCATGGTGCCCCAAGTCCTTTGCTTCTTATCTCAGGCCACCTTAGGTTGCTTACTAAGAACCCATTTTATGGGCTCCCCGGTGGCTCAGTCAGTGGACCATCTGACTCTTCATTTCCGTTCAGGTCATGCTGTCACGGTTCTTGGGATCGAGCCCCGCTTTGGGCTCTGTGCTGACAATGGAGAGCCTGATTGGGATTCTCTCTCTCCCTCTCTGCCCCTCCCCTGCTCTCTCTCTCTCTCAAAATAAATAAGCATAAAAAAAAAAAAAAAAAGAAGAACCTATTTTAATACAGAGCGATGAGGAGTGGAGCTTTGGGAGTTTTGGGCAAAACTGTGGTCTCAGTGTTCCTCTTTGAACAGGTGGGTGGCTGGGTGACCCTCAGCAAGTACTGAAATGCTGCTGGTAGCACATTCCAAGCGGGTCCCTGGAACAAAGGCACCCTCAGAGCTCCCCCTGCTCCTTCTCAGACTCAGCCTGGCCTGAACACCCTGCCCCAGAGGGTCCTCCGGAAGGAGCCCGCCACCCCATCGGCGCTCGTCCTCATGAGCCGCTCCAACACCCAGCCCACAGGTAACCGGGACCCGGGAGAGGATTGAGCTGGGCGGACCAGGGTCTAGGGGGTGGGTGCAGGGATGAAGATATCAAAGCAGGGCCTCAACTCCCCTGTCGTTTGCTTAGCCCCTGGCCAGAAGGTGGTAGAGAACAGCAGTGGGACCCCCAACTTCTCCATGTGAGTACCCAAGCCTTGGGGTGGCGGGGGAGGAGACAGGACAGGGAATAGGTAGGAAACGAGAGAGGTAGCCGAGCTCCTGGTCCCTCCTCCACTCCCTCCGGAGGGAAACAGGGCTCAGGGAGTGCCCACCTCGGGGGACCGCCCCCGGCCGTCACTCGGCTGCCTTCCTCCCACTTCCAAGCAGGCGATCCTTCACCATCGATGACTTTGAGATTGGGCGTCCTCTGGGCAAAGGCAAGTTTGGCAACGTGTACCTGGCTCGGGAGAAGAAAAGCCATTTCATCGTGGCGCTCAAGGTCCTGTTCAAGTCTCAGATAGAAAAGGAGGGTGTGGAGCACCAGCTTCGCAGGGAGATCGAAATCCAGGCCCATCTGCAGTACGAGCCCCTGTGCGCCGACCCAAGCCCCTCCCGGCTCCTCCCTCCGCTCTCCTTTCACCCCCCGCCCCATCCAGACTGCCTCTTCCGCTGCCACTTAGCGCCCCGGAGCTCCCAGTCCCCAACGGGACCCCGGTTTGCCCCACGTGGCACTGTTGTCTTTCCCATTTCCTTCTGTCAGGGTGCAACCTGAGTCCTCCCTTCCCTCCTCCAGGCACCCCAACATCTTGCGTCTCTACAACTATTTCTACGACCGCCGAAGGATCTACTTGATTCTGGAGTATGCCCCCCGGGGCGAGCTCTACAAGGAGCTGCAGAAGAGCCGCACTTTTGACGAGCAGCGAACAGCCACGGTCCGGGCGGGTGGGCGCCTGGGGCACCGGCAGGGGCCCGAGGCTGGGCCCCCCCCCCCCGCTGCTTGTAGCTTGAGGTCCAGCCTTGTCTGACATCCTGTCATTGCCCCCACCCCCACCCCCCAGATCATGGAGGAGCTGGCGGACGCTCTGTTGTACTGCCACGGGAAGAAGGTGATTCACAGAGACATAAAGCCAGAGAATCTGCTCTTGGGGCTCCAGGGAGAGCTGAAGATCGCCGACTTTGGCTGGTCTGTGCATGCCCCCTCCCTGAGGTATGGTGGGCCGGGAGCCCTGCCCCAGGGGCGAATGGCTGGGGCGGTCAAAATAATACCACTGCAGAGCTCCTTACCTAGACACATGTGGGTTTGTCCTCCTGTCCGTAGAGACACAGCAATATCTTTCCAAGAATCGGAGACCCGCAATTTTGTTGCCCAGATTTCCTGCTGAATATGTTGGGACCCTCTTACCATGTTGCTGAGGATGTTCCCACATCATCTGTAATGGCTCCATAGTATTGCACCATAGACATGGAACCTGATATATTTCATTGCTTCCTGGACTTTTGACATGTCCCCAGTTTTTCCTTCACCCCCCGTTTTTCCTTTACTTCTAAGATGAGCGTTGCCCTTAGATCTGATTATTTCCAGGTACATCCCCCTGTGTGCCATTCTACCTCTATTTTTTTCATAATATTTATTTATTTATTTTTGAGGTGTGGGGGGAGGGAGAGGCAGAGAGAGAGAGAGGGAGACACAGAGTCCGAAGCAGGCTCCAGGCTCCGAGCTGTCCGCATAGAGCCTGACGCGGGGCTTGAACTCACGAACCGTGAGATCATGACCTGAGCCGAAGTTGGACGCTTAACCGACTGAGCCACCCAGGCGCCCCACTTTGGGTTGTACCTAGTCCTGCCCCCGGGACCCTGTCAGAGTCTGGTTGAGACACCCCGCTGGCGCATGCTGGGGGTCGCTTGGCTGTCGAATGGCGGGGAAAAGAGAGGCCATCTTTATCTGGGGTCTCTTCCCCCCTCCCCAATCCACCCAGGAGGAAGACGATGTGTGGCACCTTGGACTACCTGCCTCCAGAAATGATTGAAGGGCGCACGCACAACGAGAAGGTGGATCTGTGGTGCATCGGGGTCCTTTGCTATGAGCTGCTGGTGGGAAACCCGCCCTTCGAGAGCGCCTCACACAATGAGACCTATCGACGCATCGTCAAGGTAGGAGGGTGGGCCCCAGTGCCTGGCGGGGGCTTCGCACAGAGGCCAGGGGCCGGCAGGGCCTGGGCCCTAGGTCATTGTCCAAGTGAACTGGGTGGTCAGGGATAAAGCTACGGGGGCCCTTCTTCCTCTCCTGCAGGTAGACCTGAAGTTCCCCCCATCCGTGCCCACGGGAGCCCAGGACCTCATCTCCAAGCTGCTCAAGCATAACCCCTCCGAACGGCTGCCCTTGGCCCAGGTCTCAGCCCACCCTTGGGTCCGGGCCCACTCTCGGAGGGTGCTGCCTCCCTCCGCCCTTCAGTCTGTCCCGTGACTTGTCCCTGTCATTCATTCGGTTGTGTCTGTCTGTATGCCTGTATCTGTGTATTTGGAAGGAGGGGTACCCGGCCTGTTCCTCTGTCTGTCTTCTACCTCCTTTTTATTTAATAAAGGCTGAAGCTTTTTATACAGAAGCAATTAAATTTTTTTTTCCAATGTTTATTTATTTTTGGGACAGAGAGAGACAGAGCATGAACGGGGGAGGGGCAGAGAGAGAGGGAGACACAGAATCGGAAACAGGCTCCAGGCTCCGAGCCATCAGCCCAGAGCCCGACGCGGGGCTCGAACTCAAGGACCGCGAGATCGTGACCTGGCTGAAGTCGGACGCTTAACTGACTGCGCCACCCAGGCGCCCCTACAGAAGCATTTATATGGAAGCTTTTTATAGGGACGAGTTTAGACTTTCACAGGTAGAGACTGCCGTGGGGGAAGTTTCCCCTAGAGGGAGGGGATGGGGGCCAGGCAGGCACTGCACCGACGTCCCCAGCCAGCAGCCACCCTCGTTCTGTTCCCAGCCACCCCCGTCATTTCTTCCTCTGCTCTGGCCCCCAGGGCCTGGCCGCTGGGGCCCCAGATCCCCTCTGCTGCCCCTGAACATCACTTGCCTCTCCCCTCCTCCTCTTCTCTCAAATGCTGCCCCTCTAAGCCTTTCCTTCTGGTTCAGTCTCCACCAACCTAGGAGCAACTGAACGTTGCTGTCCCTTAGAAGCTGTCTGTTTCGCCGCTCAAATCTGGTTACCTGGTCCACCGGAGGTTACCTGGTCCACCGGAAGTCACAAGGGTCGTGACGGGAGAGCTCACTTTTAACGTCCGTATTCGTGAGCGCCATGCTACAATGGTGTAGCGATCCCTTTCCACAGTGCACACGTTTATTTTCTGTGCATCTGGAACATGAACTCAGTGCTTACTGCTACCACGTAGTCTAGGGGGAAGAAAGGTTCTTTCTTTATCAGATTAAGGAAGGGTTTGGTTTCTTGGTCTCCCGAACAGGTGTTGACTTTCATCAAATGCTTTTCCTGCCTCTGTTGGTTATTTGCTCTTTTGGTCAAGGCCAAGTATGTGAATAAATTTCCTTTTTTATACTTCATGTAGTTTAAAAAAAATTGTTTTTTAAAATCAGTGTTCTTGGGGCGCCTGGGTGGCGCAGTCGGTTAAGCGTCCGGCTTCAGCCAGGTCACGATCTCGCGGTCCGTGAGTTCGAGCCCCGCGTCGGGCTCTGGGCTGACGGCTCTGGGCTGACGGCTCGGAGCCTGGAGCCTGTTTCCGATTCTGTGTCTCCCTCTCTCTCTGCCCCTCCCCCGTTCATGCTCTGTCTCTCTCTGTCCCAAAAATAAATAAACGTTGAAAAAAAAATTTTTTTTAAATCAGTGTTCTTATTTCAGGGGCACCTGGGTGGCTCAGTCGGGTGAGTGGCCGGCATTGGCTCAGGTCATGATCTCATGGTTTGTGAGTTCGAGCCCCATGTCAGGCTCTTGGCTGTCGGTGCAGAACCTGCTTTGGATCCTCTGTCTCTCTCTTGCTCTCTGCTGCTCCCCTGCTCGCTCTGTCTCTCTCTCTCTCAAAATTAAACATTTTGAAAAATAAATAAAATGATCGAATGATGTATAAGGCCTTTTTTTTTTTAATTTCTAGTTTCTCTCCCTTTAATTTTTTTTAATGTTTATTTATTTTTGAGAGAGAGAGAGAGAGAGAGAGAGAGAGAGAGAACGAGTGGGGGAGGGGCAAAGAGAGAGAGGGAGACGCGGAATCCAAAGCAGGCTCCACACACTGGGAGATTGTGACCTGAGCTGAAGTCAGACGCTTAACTGACTGAGCCACCCAGGCGCCCCTCTCCCTTTTCTCCTCTGCCAACCCCACCCTTCCTACCGCCAGCGAAACCTGCCAGGTCCCAGCCCACCTTCCTGACAAACTCGGCTCCTTTCACGCTAGTTCATCCCACCTCCTAGCTGTTCTGCCTGTTTCTATTCCCGGCGCATTCTCCACATGGGAAGTTAGCGTACTTGGAATAAAGTCCAACCTCGTTCCTCAACAAGGTCATCTACCGATTTTCAACCCTGCCTACCTGTCTTAGGATCACCTGGAGGGGCTTACAAAGAAAACAAAAAACGCTCACACATCAGCCTAGCAAATTCAGGTTGAAGTGCCCTCGGTGGAGACCCAGACATCCATCTGTTTTACGAGTCTGAGTTGAGGGGTGCCTGGGTGACTCAGTCGGTTAAGCATCCAACTCTCAATTTCGGTGCAGGAGATGACCTCACGTTTTCATGGGTTCCAGCCCCATGTTGGGCTCTGCACTGACCCTGTGTGGAGACTGCTTGGGATTCTCTCTCTCTCTCTCTCTCTCTCTCTCTCTCTCTCTCTCTTCCCCTGCCCCAGCTCCTGCTCTCACTGCCTCTTTCATAATAAATAAACTAAAAAATTACCAAAAGCCCGAGTTGAAAACGACTCCAAGCTCATCTCCCAACTGCCCTCCCCCTTCCATCAGTCATTAATTGATTGATGGCCTCCTGGCGGTTCCTTGGGCATTACCCAGTTTGTTTCCACCTCCAGGCCTTTGCCCTTGCTCTGGCCTCTGTCTAGAATGCCACCCCGCAGCCTCCTTTGAGTAACGGGAACAATCTGTGTCACGACCTTGGGTCAGTGACGTCTGCTTTTCCAAGAGGCACCCTCTCCTTATTCATGAAAATTCCACCTGTTCCCGCGAGAGCCACCCCCTTATCCAAATGATGGGAGAATAGGGCAAGTCTAGATCCCGCATTACGCTACATTCCACCCCTCAGCCCACTCGACAAACACCCTACTTGACAAACCCTACAAAGAACACAAGGGCCTGTGTCCGGGGGGTGTCCTGGGGGGCGACAGCTGTCCTAGTTGATGTTGTTTTAAGTAAAGCTATCCTTACGCTGACTCCAGCTGATCTTGGAACGTTTGTTCTCTTTGGGCACTTGCTGATCGATCACCTTGCCTTTCCACTGAACAGACGACGACAGAAAAATGACAAGCCACCCCCCTCTTCTTTTGGCGGGGGAGGATCTGGTGTCTTCCTGGTCTGCATTTCTGTGGGTGGTGCGGGCACTGGCAAGACCAATAAGAAGTGATCCGCTCCCTTCACCGTGGGGGGAGCTCTATGGAGGAACGAACTTTCGCTTCTGGCCAGCACCCCTGAGTTCTAGTTCTTTCTCCACTGTTTTTTAGTCATGTGACCTTGGCCGTGTTGTTCAATCTTTATGAGCATTTAAGATGGAAATAACAATCCTACCTTGCTGATAACAGTCTGTTCTCAAGCGCAGTTGTAACTAGATTTAAAAATCTAGTCTCGAGTGCACGGGTGGCTCAGTCAGTTAAGCATCGGGCTCTTGGTTTCGGTTGGGGTCACGATCTTGTGGTTTGTGGGTTCGAGCCCTGCATGGGGCTCTGTGCTGACCGTGTGGAGCCTGCTTGGGATTCTCTCTCTATCTATCCCTCTCTGCCTCTTCCCTGCTGGCTCTCTCAAATTCCCACACACTGGCTGCATCCCAAGGAAGTGGCTTTCTGTTTGGAATAGGTTGAAGAGAAAGGCCACGTTTCCTCAGGGTCCTTGTACCTTAGCGAGCTCTACAGAGTTCCAAACCCTGTCTGGTCTTATCTGTGGCATCACACTTTCTACCCAGATTTATATATTATGCGCCTCAGCTGATCACGTGAATGGATGAGACTAGTAGTTGGGAAAGCTGTATGAGTGTCACACGCTGTCTCCTAATGATGTGGCTTGAAACAGAACTGGGTGGTATTGATCCGACTGACCAACTGACCTCTAATACCACGAAACTAGTTCCTGAGATAACCGGATGTGTGGCAGACATTCTGTGCCCACGGGGACAGCTGAGGTCGACACAGATTGGCAGTAATCTGTCCCGAAGCACAGAGTGAGAAGTTTCTCGGGGCTACGTGGGTAGGGAATCGGCTGGTTGGGATCTGGAGGGACTATCAATGGACACCCAGAAAGACTGTCAACCCCCAAAGCAGCAGCCCGTGATACATACCCACAGAGAACGTCACAGAGAAAACTGAGGTAAAATCCGGGAATCCGATCAGATGCAGAGAATGTGGATACAGAATAATGTACAAGAAAAGGACTAAAAAATTGGTTATTTTTGAGGCTCGATGAAATATAAAATTCAGAGGGTTATGTTGGTTTGTATTTGGATCTGCTGTTAATGTTGCATAACTTTCGATTAGTGTGTTTATGAGTACGACTACATACACGTGATTTCATTTTATTTTATTACTTTTTACATGGTTTCATTTTAAAATTAAAAAAAAAAAAAAAGATTGACAGAGGGGTGCCTGGGTGGCTCAGTTAAGCATCCGACTTTGGCTCAGGTCATGATCAAACAGTTCATGAGTTCAAGCCCCGCGGGTTTCTGTGCTGATGCCTGGAGCTTGCCTTGGATTCTGTGTCCCCCTCTCTCTCTGTTCCTCCCTCTCTCACACTCTGTTTCTCTCTCTCTCTCAAAAATAAATAAACATTAAAAAATTAAAAAATAAAAAATCTTTTAAAAAAGATTAACAGAGAGCGATAGAACATAAAGATGGAAAGAACCAGGGTCCTCGGTGGTTTTGTGGAGTTACTCAATTTACCGACCCTGGAGTCCTCGGCCACCTTCCCGTTATATATATATATCTTTGGCTGATTTGCTTGTAAGATCAAGGGCTATTAACAATTTGTCATACACTTGGCCGATATTTTTTTCCCTCTCTGCAATTCGTCTTTTAATGTAGTTTATTGGGTGGTTTTCTATCTTGGAATTTTCTAGTATTATATTGTCAAGTCTTGTCATCTGTTTCCTTTATGGTATCTGACTGTTGGTCTTACTTTAAAAAGCCTTCACTGGGGGTGCCTGGGAGGTGCACTCGGTTGAGCATCAGATTCTTGATCTTGGCTGGGGTCATGATCTTACAGTTCGTGAGTTCAAGCCCTGCTTGAACTCGGTGCTGATGGTGTGGAGCCTGCTTGGGATTCTCTCTCTCTCCCTCTCTCTCTGCCCCTCCCCTGCTCGTTTTCTCACTCTCTATCAAAATAAATGAATAAACTGAAAAAAAAATGGACATGAGCTGGATTTGGCCCATGGGCCATACCTCGCTGGCCCCT